GTAGTAGTAGTAGTAGTAGTAGTAGTAGTAGTAGTAGTAGTAGTAGTAGTAGTAGTAGTAGTAGTAGTAGTAGTAGTAGTAGTAGTAGTAGTAGTAGTAGTAGTAGTAGTAGTAGTAGTAGTAGTAGTAGTAGTAGTAGTAGTAGTAGTAGTAGTAGTAGTAGTAGTAGTAGTAGTAGTAGTAGTAGTAGTAGTAGTAGTAGTAGTAGTAGTAGTAGTAGTAGTAGTAGTAGTAGTAGTAGTAGTAGTAGTAGTAGTAGTAGTAGTAGTAGTAGTAGTAGTAGTAGTAGTAGTAGTAGTAGTAGTAGTAGTAGTAGTAGTAGTAGTAGTAGTAGTAGTAGTAGTAGTAGTAGTAGTAGTAGTAGTAGTAGTAGTAGTAGTAGTAGTAGTAGTAGTAGTAGTAGTAGTAGTAGTAGTAGTAGTAGTAGTAGTAGTAGTAGTAGTAGTAGTAGTAGTAGTAGTAGTAGTAGTAGTAGTAGTAGAGAGAGAGAGAGAGAGAGAGAGAGAGAGAGAGAGAGAGCTCTACAACCTTGCTAGGAATCACTACACTGTAGGAAGCCTAAATCTTTAGCAGAATCCCCTTAATCCTTGCACGACCTTTTTCTTTTCTCTAATGTCATACCTTGAGTGCACATTCCACATAGAGTTGGACTCATAATTTCTCTCTCTCTCTCTCTCTCATTGTATTTCTCTCATGATTTCTCTCTCTGTATTTGTGTGTGTCCAGGTTTATACTAAGAACCAAAGTTCAAGACACCACAAATCACACAGTTGAATTACTACAAAACTCTAAAAAACGGCTTTTGATTTTACAGGATTTTGGCAGAAGAGCATGGGTACCAAAGAACAGGCAAAAAATGCAGAGAGAAGTTTGAGAATCTCTACAAATACTACAAGAAAACAAAGGAAGGCAAAGCAGGAAGACAAGATGGCAAACACTATCGCTTCTTCACTCAGCTCGATGCTCTTTGCGGTGAAATTCCGGCCAGAAATGGAGAAATTGCACCGAAAAGTTTAGAAATTCCAGCCAAAATTGCACCACCCACCATTAACAGAAAGCAAGGAGAGAGCCCAAGCTCCTCTGATAACTGGGACTGGGAGGAGAGAGAAGAGGAGGAGGGAAGAGAGAGAGAGGAGATGGGTGGTGGGCTAAGCAGCAGCAGTGGGGGTAGTGAGATGAAGAGGAAGAGAGAGAAAGTGAGGAGAAAGAGAGGTTGGAGGTGGAAGAGAGTGAAGGTTTATGTAGAGATGCAGATGAAGAGATTGGCAGAGAGACAGGAGGCTTGGGTTGAAGAGGTGGTGAGAGTTCTTGAGAAAAAGGAGAGAGAGAGAATGTGGAGAGAGGAAGAGTGGAGGAGGCAGGAGAGAGAGAGGTTAGAGAGAGAGTGTGAGGTGTGGGCTAGAGAGAGAGAGTGCATGGAAGCTAGAGATAAGGCTCTAATGGAGGCTCTTCAAAGGATAGCCAGCATACATGAACCTTGCCATGTAGAGATTCAAAAGTAGCTATGTTATTGTATATGCTAAATGAGTATATTTCCTTTCTTTCTTTCTTTTTTGTTCCTTTTTTTCTTCTTCTTTTTGGGTTTATTAATAGAAGGAAGGATTAGCACTTACCTAGTTTCTATTTTCATCTCAATCCTTACTCTTGGCTATCTTTTTTTTTTCTTTTTTTTTTTTTTGGTCAAGAGTTTCTTTTGAGAAAGTTTGTTGTAATAGTAGGAAATTTCGCTGGAATTTGGCCAATTTTGTTGTAATTTGTTTGCACTTTATAGCATATGATGCTCCAGTGGGATTACATTGTACACTTACTCCTTGGGGCAAGATTAAGATTGTCACTTGGGAGAGTTTTATGGATTGATATATTTGGATGCACCTGAGTACTAACATGATTATTTTGAAAAAAATTTGGATTCAGTTGTTTATAAACCGAAATTTGGGTGAATGGAGTAAAATTCATCATTGTTAAAGCCTTTTTCCAACTAATTGGATGAAAAGAGTGAAATTCCGACACCTTCAATCGGTGTTTAAACTATATCACGTAGAGATAAAAGGTTCTATCAAAGTATGGACCGCATAAAGTCCGTCTTTTCGACTATCTTTCAATTGTCCACTGGCCGCACCGGCTAAAGATTTCCAAAAAAAAAAGAACCAAGATGAGAGCCTTAGAAAATAGGGAGGTGTTTTGAAAGAGATTTAGAATAAATTACACTAACAAAAAAGTAGAATGAAAAAGACCAAGGGTAAAAGTGATTGTGGGTGTACTTGCAAGCTCGACCTACAGGCTTGGCACCTAGAGTTAGGGCTTGATTTAGAGATGTTGGTACCAGGGGATCGTTTCTATTGTCTTTCAGAAAGATGAGCTAGAGGTGCTCAGTTATGGAGTGTCGTCGGAGTAAGAGAGAGGCTTTTGAGGAAAAGGTGGACCATGGTGGTCTGTGGTCTAGGGTTTGATGGAAAGTAAGATCTTTGGCATGCTTTAGTGCTGGAACTGTGTCTATGTTTGGTCTACTATGTCCTAGATCAGTCTATGGTTGTGGGAACATAGACTTAGGCTTAGAGTTCATTGATCGGATAAGGTTCACAGGTCCAGGGTTCGCCCAGGGTTCCGCTCCAAGTCCCCCAAAATTTGAACATTAGGGGGGTCCTTTTATAGACCTAGGCCCAATCGGTGCTGTCAATTTCCGCATGAGCCTACCCAGGCCATGGTGACCTTGAGGGTCATGCGCGACTAGGGTGGGCTCCGAGAGTATTGCTCGGCTTGGGGTGGGGGTACTGGCCCCACAAGTCCGTATGCAACCGTTTTAGAACCACGGAGGGTTTAAAGCCAGGGTTATAAGTTTAAATGACCTTTTCTTATTATTTGAAAATTTGATTTTCGGGTCAACCTAGGGTTTAGGCTTAATTGGGCTAGTCGAAGTTTAGGGCTTAAATGAGATTGGGGATTCCTAATCTGGTGTTTAAGATAGATATGGCATGATTAAGGGGTTAGGTTAGGCTGATATGATAGGTTTTAATGGTGGTTGGCCGAATTAAGCAGGTTTAACTAATGAGGTTAGCTAAATGGGAAAGTTTAAGGTTCCCTAAGTGTGTTTAGGGTTAACTAATCATGATTTAGTTCATGATGGGACCTATTTGGTATATTTAGGTTGTTCGGTAGATGCATGGAGTATGGGGATGTGATGCACTACGATGTACTATACTTCTATGGTCTGAAATTTAGGCTAGAAAGTGGGTTGTTTGGATGTGGCATAGGTCAGTTTTTGGTCAAGGATGGGTCTAGGAAGGCTCTAGAGGTGTAGTCCCTATGGTTTAGGGTTGCTGGTATCAAACGTTTTGCTTATCCATGATAGGGTGCAACTCTCAATACTTAGAGGTCTTATTGTCCAAAAATTAGACCGATATATGTGTAATTTTTTTTTCTTAAGGTACATTGAGGTGCATTTTAATTTTTACCTTTTTCTTGAGGTTGGTCACCAAGTTCAAGAGATACATCCTCAAAATTTGAGATCCTAATAATACTCCTAACTTAGGTTTTATGTGAAAGTATGCTCCTCCCACAAGAGGAGAAAATCATTTTAGAAATGTTTATAGGAAGGGTGTAGTTTATATAAGCCTATATAAGATGCGTCAACCTTAAAAAATCAAAGTCAGGTGAATACCGAAACTTGTCGTGATGCATTTATAATGTTGAAAATCCCTGTGATGGCTTAAAAATCTATTTTCACCTCTAATTAAGAAATTTAATATTTCCAAAGTGATGCAGATCGAGCAAATTACAGTATTTGAAAATATTACAAATGGTTGGTCCAAATAATATGCAACAAGATGCGTTATTTTAGGATTTGAAATCTAGTTTTTTTATATCCATACATCTCAAGATTGAGTTGATCAATTGTAAGGTTTTTCAACGTTGAAATAACATTTTTCAAGAGATTGTTTATGTGTTTCTTACTTTTATAATATAAGATTGATACCTTATATTAACTTTTTCCTTACGGGAAAGCCAAAAAAACAAAAACCTTTTCGTGGGTCTCATCAAGTTTAATTTTGATCCATAAATGAACTCTCTGTAACATTTCAATTTTGATCCATCAATGAAGTCACTGTAATATTTCATAGTGCCTTAGTATGCCATAATTAGTGTGTGATATCATTACCAACTTGCTCCCGTTGAGTCATGTATTGATTCCTTGACACTAATTCGTATATGAATCCTATGGAGCATGCCTATGAAAAAGAATAGGGTCAGCAATGGGCCGGTTGACCTGGCCCTAAAATTTAGGGCATGAGCCACAAAATGTGGCCCAACGGTTGGCCCTTGGCCTGGGCAAAGACAGGGCCGACACGGCCCTTATTTTATTTATCTTTTTGTTTTTTTATAATTTTATTTAGCCCGGCTAGGCCCAACCTTGGCCTGGGCCAGAACCTCTTTGGCCTGGTTCACGCTGGTACAAGACTGGCCGACCCTTAGGGAATAGGATTGGGCTAGGGTTAGGGCTGGCCTGGCCCATTGCCAGCCCTAAAATAAAGAATCAAACTGTAATATGGTTTTCTACATTTTTCTTGTTTCTTTTCCTTTTAAGTTTTAGATGGAAGTAGGTTCAATTTCCCAAGATCTGTCAAACTAGTGTTTGAAAAGCTACTTAAAAGCATATAAGAATACAAAAAATGCTTGCAAAATTTAATATTTATACTTTTTAGAGCAAAACAAAACTAGAAATGAGCAACACAAATCGAATTAACAAAAATAAACAATATAAGAGCAAAAGCTTGTAGTAGATTGACCTTAATACTGCCAAAAATCAAACAAAGAAATAACTCGCTTAGTAGGTTTTCAAACAAAAATCTTAAAATTTAGATTATTTAGATTTCAAATAAATAAGTCGATGAATCTAAAAATTAGTTTTCAGATCCACAAAGCAATAGAAAACGCACTTGGGGCTAGGGCTAAAATTTTTGGATGAGAGGCCCGTAAATGATTTCCTACTTGAAAACACGCACCTTATTTTCTGGTGAACAAAAAAAGCCAAAAAAAAAAATGAAGGCAGTTGGACCGGGTTGAACCCGGTGTCTGACTGGAAACTTAGCCGACTGTCTGAGTTTGGTCACGAAAGCCAAGTTTCTTGGTTGGGAACCCAGAACTCAACAGTTTTGAGTAAATCAGCGGAGTCTGAAGCCAAGACACCGGCTTTTCAATCATTGAATTTAAACAATATGTTAGCTCGATATAATTTGGGCTGGATCCTTGAGTTTCTTCGAGATTAACAGGCCAAAATGTCGCTTTGGTTTTCTCTGCTGTTTAATGAAGTTGGTCTCTTGAAAATTTTGTCCCTTCCTCTATCTCCACCTTCAATGGTCATGAGTTTAAGTCTATCATTAAGCTAACAAATATCTCCTTCCACCAAGTCCTCCCTCTCTCTCTCTTCTCTCCAAAATTTGTCCCTTCCTCTCTCACATGCACATCATGTGCCTGGTATAGATAAAGGCATGATGTGCATGTGTATGATAAAAGAATAGGGAAATAATGGAGTTGGGGTATCGGAGGTTAGGGAGTGAATGCCTCAACATAACATTCCAACCTCCATTCTATTCTCACCGTTAACATATCAAAGAAGAAAAAAAATACAGGAATAAGTGGACTTATAACAGACCATGTCATGCAGGGGGACTCATAAGAGACCACAGATGAATAATCTTGCTGACCTTCTGGTGCCTTGTGGCAATGCAACAACGAATGAGCCAGAGGTTAAAGCATTGCCACAAGGTCTGGGATTATCTCCTCTTTCAAAGGTCAAAAAAATGCAGAAGATGATTCGGTTGATGTGATTAGATGGTGAAAAGATGAAGCTGTAACACAGGAGATTCATCTCTTACATGGTGGAGATCAAAGATATTGTTAGAAGAGATAAAATTCACCTAGAACATTGCTCTCGAGAGGCTAATTTTGGGGCTGATACATTAGCTAAGGGAGGAATTGCTCACTCAATTTTGGTTTTCAATAGGTTTACTGAATATATGTTTACTGGAGTTGTACAAACACTACTTTTTTGGAGGAACCCATGAAAAGTCACAAGTTAACATTGAGAGAGAGAGAGAGAGAGAGAGAGAGAGAGAGAGACTTGCAAGCAGGGCTGCCAACCAAGCTAGCCAAGCTTCTGTTTGGATTCGAGCCATTTAAGGCCGGCAATATTGCATCCAAGTCAGACATGCTAAGCCTGAACCTATATATATTTCTATCTATTTATATATGTTCCTGGGCTGGCTGGATTTAATTTTTGGGTGGGCGTGGGCGATGATGATACAAGTCGGGCCAAGGCCAAGGCCAGGCTACAACTTTCTGGTTTATTTTTGGACCTGGATCAAGCCCTAGCTCTGTTGGCAGACCTACTTGGGAGATGTACTTCAAGAGTTCTAAATAAGATCACTTTGTCACTAAGAATGGGATTTGAAACTGAATCAAATGACTCTGCCAGCTGCTCATTTCACCAAGGGCCAATACTTATGCTTGGTATTCATTTCTCTATGATGCTCCTGTGGTTGAAATTCACATGTTCATTGAAAGAATTCATGAACACCATGACAAATATTAGAACTCACAATAAGAAATCAGAATGCTTAGTTCCTGTTTAACCCATACTGTTTGAATACTAGCTACTAATCCATATATATACAATGTTTATTGGATTCGAAGTATAAATGATTTATTTTCATCATGACTGCAGCCAAGATGACCTCAGACCATATTTACTTTTAGTAGTAGACAATACCTGATAATGCTTAGAAACATAAATATACAGTACACAATTTCGCCCAGCTACAAAATATCACTCAGTTCTATATATTATGTT